GCCATTTGGTGCTGTCATCTTCACTGTTTGCCTCACACAGAGGTTTCCCAGAAAAGAGAGCAGGACTATGTGATACCTCACATGAGAAAGCCTCAGGTTATATGAGCCATAGCTCAGATATGCTTTCCTTGTCATTTGGGAGAGAAAATAACACTGCTCACGGATGTGGATCTTTCCCCTCTGGTCCCCACCCAGGGCAGCAGTTAGGCTCAAAGGTGAATGGTTTTCAAGACTTGATCTTCGTTGTTAGGCATCTTGTTGTGACGCACCTAAACGACAGAATACCCATGCGAGCTCTGAGTAAAAAAAAAAAAAAAAAAAAAAAGGAGTTGGATCCCTCTTACTTTATTCCAGTTGCTTTGTAGCCTCTGAAGTATTAGCGTATGGGCTGGGCTTCAGGAGGTACATGCGCTACTCGCTACTCGTTTGCCTGCTAGATAAGTTTATATGTTTGAGTAGGTTGTCTCCTATTCAATGAGCATTGAGATCCATTGGAGACAGACTCTAGAGAAAAAACAGCTGCAATTTTGTTTTCTTCTGTGAGGTTTCTCCTTAACTGTATTATGCCAACACTCAGTTTCCTTGTCCCATTTGGTTTCTGCCCAGCAAGTAGTATTTGATCCCTTCACATCTCAGTTGATCTTTTTCCCCCTCTTTCACGTTGTCTTGGTGCTAGCATGGAGAGCACAAGACCACCGTCTCCATCTTCTCAGCTCTGACGCCCAGTGGTACGGAGGCTTAGGGTGGTTACGTTGGTGAAAGTCCAGCTCAGCCCCTGAAGCCTGGAACTGGATCATTGTCAGTCCTGAGAACATCTTAAGGATTTGTGCTGCTAAATACTCCTATATGCTTGTAGAGTAAACAGAGGGCTTTCAGAAATGAATTTGGGCAGTACTTGCATAAAAACATAAAAGCAAACTACAGTGAATGTGTTCTTCCAAAATTCAAGTCGCTGTCCAAGGCTTTGTGACAGATGACCTTCCTTTGAAAGGTAACGGTAGCAAATGAAAAAGCTGTAATAAACACAGGAACAAAAGCCAAATAATGGATTTTTATCCACCATCTTTTTCAGGAAAGAATGAACACTTTTAGCTGAAATTTGCAATCAGCCTGTACTTGGGCATCTGCCCTCGACAATTTTAGCTCAAATTGTTCATATCTTGACAGAGTTGATAAGAGCAAAAACCGAAGTCTTATTACAAAAAATGCTGCATCTTAATTACAGGAAGCACTATCTGCTCACCAGTATAGTGGTCTGAGTACTTGCACATCTCTTAATCCCACGCACAACTACAATTGCAGTGTTAAACCGCTCTATCTGATGCACATTTAAAAGTGTGCTTGGATCCGCCTTTGGCAAATCACTGAGGCATGTGCTTAATTTCAAGCTTGAAGCTAAGGCCATGTTTAACTGATCTGCTGGGCTGAGCCCCCAGTCTAACTGTTTACGTTGTAAATTGAATTTGAAGCAATTCTTTGAAAACCAAAAGAATCTGAGAGTTTTGATGTTTGATTCTGCCAGTGCTTTCACTTGTGCAGCTGTCTCAATGATTTCAGTAAGAGTTCTATGTACAAAGTTAAATAGGTGTGCTAATATTGCCAGATTAAAGCCTTATTTTTGAATGGATGACACGTTTGACTTCACACTCTCATGCATCTGTGTCAAGAATATTCTTTGTGTATGGGATTCTTCTGAGTACTTTCTGAAATGCCAGATATATATTATGCGCGCTCTATTCAACATGCCTTCTCTACGGAGAGTTAAGTGCTACTTTTCATTTGCTTTGACCTTCCCCTTGTTTAAAACCACAGGTTAGTTTTGGCAGCATTAATAGCTCTTAAATGATTTGTAATCTGTTTTTAATGTGGTCCTAGTTAAGGTTCAATGTGAATAAACGTGGGACTTAAATGAAACCTGATGTCTTCCTGCTTTAGGCAGTGAAGTGCTATGAACCACGGAGTAGGAATTTGTATATTTACACGTTAGCAAATACTCAGTAAAAAAAATTATCCATCATTTCCTCTCAATTCTTCTTTTTTGATGGTTCCTACGGAGTTACAGCAGCTAGGTACGAGCTAGTTGAGCTGATCGTTTCCCATTACTTTAGCAGAGAACTGTCCAGATAGTCACTTGCTGAAAGAAAAGAGAATATTCTGCCTTAATGCTTATAATTCAGCATCACTTAACTGTTTTGCTAGCAGTACCTTTGCGCTCTAACCAGTAGAAGATCGCTGGGTAAACTGAGGCAAGTGGTTTCTAGTTTATCACTTGGAAGTTGTAAGAGTTTGCCTGTAGCTCTTAGCACAAACAGTGCTGTGCGGGGTCAGGATAAACCCAGTATGTCGCTGTATAATAATTAGCGCAAATGCAGCATCAACTGTGTACGTATACTCACTTGGAATATGAATTATCAGGTTATCTCCTATGAGTAGTGCAGTGCCAGTAGGTATTTTCTAATATAGATAAAATCTATTTTCAAGCAAAGAGCAGCAGGGAAAGCATGAAACAGATCCATGTTCTTGGCTCCTCTTGGAGGTGCTAAATTCAAAGCTGAGTTAATGATTACCTTCGGGAAGGACCAGCCAAATGTTTCTGTGCAACACTATTGACTGGGCTTGTATTGAGTGAAAGATCTTAAGGTCTTACGTGCTGGATGTATAAATTCAGTGCTAGAATTGTCTGCAGTGTAATGAGGGAAATAGGTATATGAGTAGTTGGGGACTTGGAAGGATAAAGGTAACAGGTTTGCTGTTAAAAGTAGAAGGGGAGAAAAAGGCTAGTAATATTACTAGTTTACAGTCTTGTCAAGCTAGGGTCTAAAGCTCACACTAGCTCTTGTACTAGATTCAGAACTGACCTCCCTTCTTGTGAACAGAGTTGTAGACAACTTTTCTTTGAACTTAAAAATGTATATCCTTAAAACCTGCTTTAGTGTCACCCAAATTCCTCATAGGTAAGACAAAAGTGGTTGAAATTTAAAACAGGGAAGGGGGAGTGGGTTGTGTTATCCGTAGAGAGATTTTTCAACCACACAACGGAAGTCAGTCCACAACAGAAACTGCATAGAATTAGCAACTCTAATCGTCCGTTGTCAGTATTCCCAAGTTTGCTGATTTTTCTAAAGCCTCATTTCCTCAAGTGATATGATGACATGAAATCCTTAACCTTGCTTTCATTCTCTTTAACTTCTAATCCCTGCGTTTTAGAGAAAGACTGGATAATATGAATATGCTAATACAAAGCTTATGGGCTCAGGTACTCATCGTCAAAAAAAAAGTAACCCAAACTATCTTAAAAAAAAAAAAAAAAAAAAAAAGAACCCAAAATTATCCACTGTGTGTCAGTATTGAAATTTTGGGAGTTAGACCCCTGTTTCTTCGGCAGTTGGTGTTTGCGTTTCACTCTGCTTTTTCTGGAATTGGTTTGTAAGCCCAGGAGCCTTGTTACAATTAGCTTGAACTGTAATTTTGTCGGCATATATTGGCCCAGAGTTTTCCAGGGTCTACTAGATGAAAGAATCTTTCCTCTCCTAAAACGCAACTTGGTTCTGAAGTGAAGCATTCGTCTGAATGTGAAAACTGTAAAATACATTTGCAATTCAATTCACTAGTCTCTATCTCTACCGCAGTGGAGGGTGCTGTGTTAGAGCTCAGCCTAGATGCTGTTTCTTATGCCAGCAAATCCAACTATGGGACCCAGGTCTGCATTTTCTGATAACATTACCTGCATAGAATCTATTTAGTGAGCATCAATCTAATTGGATTAATCACTCCCCATCTGTGGTTTTTTTTTTAGTTTTAGTTTTTGTTTGTGCTTAACTCCCTTCATCGATGTTGCTGTTGTGACCACTACCATAATAAAATGGGAAGAATAAATAAGCAAAGCATCTGAGGTGTCCAGATTGGGCACGTCCTGCTTTTGAAATGTTGACTCATAACTGTATTTCTGTTACTTCCTTACAATTTTTGATCTTCTCTGAACTCTTGCCAAGTTATTCATAACTGCTTGCACTACTCAAAATGAGTCCTGAGCGATGCCAAGCACAGCACTCAAATTACCTCAATTGCTTAACGTGATAATTCTGTCACTACAGCCCAGTGAGCTGTAGCATTTGCCAGGCTCGCAGTAGTGCAGTACTGCTGATTCATATGCGGTGTGTTGTTGACTGTACCACCCCGTTTCTCCTCGTGGGCAGTCTTCTCTGCCAGGAAGCCCACGTTCTGGCTTTGCTCTTGTCAGCTGGGACCAAGATCAACCAGGATTATGTGTCCGTACGTGCAGTTACTTCGGTAAAGTATTTCTGCTGCAAGTACAAGATCATGTCTGAAAATACAGGAGGTGAGGTGAGGAAAAAATGAATGTTTGTGTTCATATATAAGGGGTGAGGGGCAAAAGGGGAAAGGGGAAATCCTTCCTAGCTAGGTGAAGTCTATGTCTTTTTTTGTCAGATTTCTTGTAGCTATGACAGCAGGAACTATCTTGTGAAGAGATGGTGAAGACAGCAGGAACTATCTTGTGAAGAGATTTGAGGGGGGAGCAAAACTTAAGCAAGGTTCGATATGCAGAGTTAGTTCTTAAGTAGTTTATTGAATTGGAAAATCTGTTACAGCCAGGAAATGGAGCTAGAAATGTCACTGAGCAGAGCCTGTGGAAAACAGGTAGCACCGTCCTCTGACATAATTCATCAAAGTGGGAAAGGACTGAAATACATGCGTAAAGGCTGTGACCTCTGACTTGGCATTGTGTCATGTTCTTTCAGAAATAGCATTCCAACGTCCTGTCATTATACTTTGCTGATACTGTGCAAAGGGGCAGACCAGGCTTTTATGAGAATTCAGAATCTTTGTTGATGACTTGGAAGCCACTTCTTGAATCGTCAGTGAGATCACACACACGTTTATTGAAATCCTAATTCCAAAAAAGGAATTGCGTGGGCAAAAGGTCTTATCACTGGGATCCCTTTACTAGTTGGTTATCTTGCCTGCTGAATTGCTTCAAAAAGAGCCTTTAAAGTATTTCCTTTTAAAAACTTAATTTAGAGAATTGAAATGCAGAGAGGCAGGGCTGTGTGACTGTCCCCAAAATCAACCTGGCCAAAGTAACTTGGGTTTATGTACTCCTTTCATGGCTGTGTGAGGAAATAGTTGCCAGAGGCCTGTCTTGCAAGCATTTACCTATTCAGAAGAGTTTTTCTTCGATTACTGAAACATCTGATACATGTAGCTAGCTTCACGTGACGGGCTCTAATCTGACTTTTGCTGCTCGTTTGGAAGATTGGGGCCATGCTTGATAGATGGTTCCAGCTCAGTGCCAGTAGCAGTCAAAAAGGCAAAGCAAATATTGATGAGGAATTACTAGATGGGGACTGAGAACAGAGGAAGTTGGTGTACTACTGCCTGAATCCGTGGTTTGAATGCACCTTGACTACTCTGTGCAGTTCAGCTTCCCTCACCTCTGAAAAGATTTAGAAGTACTGCAAAAGGACAAAGAAGGATGACAGGGATTATCAGACATCTGGATCCTGTGTGTGGACTGACGGAGTCACGCCTGGAAGAGTCAAGCCTGGCTCTTCAGCCTGGAAAAGAGGTGAATTAGGACACTGTGGAAGAAATCTAGAAAAGGCTAAATGCTCGGGGGAGGGTGCGCAGGAACAAAATGTTCGCTTTCTCTCTCAGTACAAGAGCTGGGGGATATGAGATGAAGCTAGTAGGCGCTAGGTTCCAAATAAGTGGAAGACAGTGGTTCTCTGTGGAGCTGCAATAGAGCTGGGAAAGTCTTTGCCTGAGAATTTTGTGGATGGACTGAAGGGGGGAAGTGGTTAAGTACTTGGAAGAGAGATCTGTTGGGGGTTACTAAACAGACAGCAACAGGCTCAGGAAATCTCTGGTGCTGAAAATGCAAGTTGGGAGAGTAGTCAGAGGAAGTATCATACATGCTTCTGTTCTTGCTCTTCCCTAAGCACTCACTTAAAACCACCGGTAGAGGTGAGAGGCAGGGCAGACCGGCTCTGTGCTCTGAACCCGTACGGTCCCTTGAGCTTATCTCCCCGCTGTTCACTTTCAGGTTTGAAATTAACGCTTACAAAATCCCGCCGCGCCTCAGACGCACGCTGAAACTCTGTGCCCGGGGAGCCCGCT